AAACCTCGTATATTCAAGGTATAGTCAGTAAAGTACATTCACTTAACCAACCTTTCATTGAAAAAGACAAGTGAAATACCCATAGGAGCTTCTATGGGGAATTGGGTGTGAGACCATTTTAGGACTGTCTCCCGCACTCCTGCAGTGTGGATGCCTCACACATGTCCTGGGGCATCTGTGGATGGAACGTGGGGCTTCAGTGATGATCTGTCCCCTGTGCCCCGGGTCACTGAGTTTAGGCCATTAAGGATCCTGCAGTGTTAGAGGAAGGATGTTACCATGTGGGTACAGCCTCCCCATCTGCTCTTCCACTCTCCTCCTCCTTGTTGGGTGTCTTTAGTGGGAACTCTGCTGAGGAGGGAGAGATGCCCGATGCCCCATTCTCACCTTTAAATGTCTCCAAGTCTGCTGCAGTAGTCACATATTTAGATAGATGCAATTTACAAGATGACAATTTACTTATAATTTGATCTACACTCTAAGGAGGGTATAGTTGTCAACTTTTCTTAGCACAGGAGACAGTGAAAAGCATCCAAGGATTGGCATTTGGCATTTGATGGGCATTCCAGGATGAAAAGATCACTTTATGCAAAGATAGGGAAGCAGGAGACAGTTATCCAGGAACTCTTGTTCCAAAAGATGGGTTGCCTGAGGTTCTTGGCTTCCTACAGGCAAACTTACAGCCATGATGGCCCCTTCTAGTGTGGCAAGAATGGCTGCTCCCTGGAAAGAATGTCTTTATGACATGTCCAGTGATATGTCCAGTGATATGTCCCTTATAGCTGCCAGTATCCCTTGTCCAGCCCATGTACCTGGGAAGAAGATCCTTGGCTTGATTTTAAGTGCATTTTCCATAACCTTTACCTGGGAGTCCCATGAGGTCCATCGGGGCCTGCTGGTCAGTCTCAAGGCTCTTCCTGGTGATCCCCAAATTATATGACTCCATTGCTACCGTGGAGAGTCAATGGCAGCTGCCCTCCCCATTCCTTCCAACTTTATGGGGAACCAGACTCACTGAGCTCCTCTTTAGAATTCTTGCTTCAAAAGGATCTGGGAAACTTTCTTCATGAAGCCTTCTGCTGATCAATTTGCTGCCTTGCCCATGTTCCCAGGTCCGAAGGGAAATCTGGTGGTTCTTCGGTTTCTCCAATGATGAAGGTGCAGTCAAGTGGCAGAAGGGCTGTTCTGCAGATCAAATCCTAGAATTTTAAGGAGCCCATTTTCTTTTATAGTTCCGTGTCCCCTTCCTTGGCCCCATGTGTGGCCAAGCAGAGCACCAGTAGCCTTTGTCTGCAAGACCCGTGCCATCTAGATGACTGACAGCTAGAAGTTGGGTAATGGAGGGAATGAGTTTTTACTGCTCACAATTTGTGAGGCAGCCGCCTGGCTAAGACTTGAGTTTTTACAAGAAAAATCGCTAGATCTTCTGCCAGAGCTTTCTTAGGTGCTTTAGCAGAGGTCATTGTGACTGCATTTCAGCCACTGTCTGGACTCCTAGCCTCACTATGATGCAAATTTCTTCTGCAAAATCACCTACCTGAGCCCTGGAACTACTCCAGGCAACAAAATGCAAGCAAGAGGGAGTCAAAGAGGACGTTGTCTTTCAGAAAACCATGTGAAAATCAGGAGGAAGGGTGCAAAATCTGAAAAACCCAGAGGAAGAGATTTGTTCAGGCAAAATTTCCTGTAGCCGATGTCCAGCATTTCTTCTACTCCTGGGAACTATTTTCATCTTCAGCCTAAGGTGGAAAATCACGTTTTAAAGTGGGATTATCAGAAAACAAATATGTACCGGTAGGTTCATCAATGGTAACAAATGCCCCACTCTGGGGGGAATATTGGTGAGGGCAGCCTGTGCACGTAGAGGTAGATGGGAAATCTCTGTACCTTCCCCTGGATTTCACTTAACCTAACATAGCTCTCAAAAATAAAATCTATTTCAAATTTTGGACTGGCATTAGGTAGACTTTAACTTTACCACTTGCTGGCTGTCTGATCTTTGCTGAATACCTTCGCTTTTTGAAATTCAGATTTTCTGCTTCTTAATATCTTTAGTGTCAAATGAGACAATAGTGAATAATAATAATAACTGCCATTTATTGAACAACTACTATGTGCTGGATGGTTACTTCATAATCCTCACAGTCCATTGTAACTTTGCAAGTGAGAAAAGAAATTAAGGAACTTGACTGATATTGTCCAGCCAGTGAGAGATGGACTTTATGTACTGAAGTCAGTGTAGCACAGATTAAGGACATAAATTCTCCATAAGGATGCCAGCTTTGCTGCTTGGTAACTGACAACGCAGCTGTGGATAGGGCAGATGGTTCCATTGGAAATGGTGGGCTCTGTGTGCTACTGTGAGCTCAGGGCCCTCAAACCTGCATTCTCTACAGTCTTCTTCCCTCACATAAAACCAACACAAGACTGGCCTATACAGTTTTGTAATTTTTTTCTTAGCTCTCATCTGCCTTTCTTACGTAAGCTTTCTTACATCATCTGTCTTCTCATAGTTAAAGACTAATTCAAAAGCTCTATATAATTTAAACGTTTGGATGTAGTTCTTTAAAATGTAGAATGATTTGGCCCCTACAAATGATACTAAGACCCTGCATAGGAGAAAGAAAAGGACCTTTTGTTGATCCTCACTATGTTTTGGGGTTGTTACCCACTAGTTTATTGAATCCTCATATCTACCCCGCAAGACAGTGATAGTGTGATCCTTACTCTTACCCACTCAACCTCCAAGTAAGAAGACAGGTTCAGGCAAGTTCACATAGTCAGGAGGAGGTAGTGCTGGAACGAAGCTGAGGACTGAAGGTTGCCCATGGGGAGAATTCTGGCCACGATGGGTCTCCCAATGCTCCCTGTGCTCCTGGCCTTACGCCCTGGCAATAGAGCCAAGCTGTCAGCAGGGAGTTTGAAGGAGAAGCACACTTGAGATACAAGTGCCCTTTTGGCTCTCTTTCCCTTTTTGCTGACCCCAGCCCCTTCCTTCCTGAAGACCACCAGAGAGGTGAGTCAGGCAGAGGCCAGGCAGGTCTGGGATACAGGTGATGGTCTGAGTATAAATCCAGCTCCACCTTTCATGGTTGAGTTTCCTTGGGCAAGTCACGCCTCCCACCTCAGCTTTGGTGTATGCAGGCTCAGTAAGCAGAATAACCGGCAGCTTCATTCACGCTCTGGACAACTTTTATTGAGTAATACCAGGGGCTGGACTCTGCTTGGGGCCAGGGTGACAGCTAAAGCAGGGAATCAGAGCCTCTGCTCAAGAGAAACTTGCATTATACTGGAGAGAAAAACAAACCAAACCAAACAAAAGAAGAACAGGCAGTGGTGAGGAATAAGTGGGAAAATATACATACAGGACTTCGAACACTGCTTGGCATGTGTAGACATACAATACATGTCAACTATAACTCCTTTTCCATCTGTGTGGCATTTTGAAGTAAAATAAGCCAGTGATCCAGGGTCCCAAATAGAGTTCTTTTCCCTCTGGTATTTCCACTTCCAAGCCCATGGAATTTTCTAGAAATTCTGACAGGCCTCCTGCTATGGTGTCTCAGGTATGAAACCAGGCTGCCTGTCTTATGCTCTCTTGATTGTCTCCTGTTGGTGGGTTTCAAGCCTTTGAGGGTCAAGACCAATCTCTTATCCAGGGCCTATACATAGTAAGTGCTCAAGAAATATTTGTTTTTGAAGGGTGAAAAAGGGAGGCAGTTTGTGTGGGGAGCTTGACTTGCCCCAGGGAGGCTTTCTGTGTGCTGGGCGTGATTATGAAAACGGTTGGCATTTGGTGTGAAGATTGGGAAGAGGCCAGAGAAACAGACCGAAAAAAAAAAAAAAAAAATTCTTTGGTGTGAGAGGTTTCTTTTCTGGAAAGAAGACAGCACCCATTTTCTGTGGCCCCTTCTCTGTTTTTGCCAGAATTGAAGTCTTGTTCCTGAGGCTTGCCAGGGACAACAACATCACGTGGTCATAAACAGAACCACTTTGTGGGGCCACTGAGTGGGGAGCAGCAGCCCCCCTTCTGTCCCTGCTCCCCATCTGACAGGCAGCTGTGAAACATCTAGTCTTGAAATCTGGCAGGAACCAACAATTCTTTGCAAAAAGGTTACACTGAAGAATGTGGGGGTGAATGGAGTACTCCACAGAGGATGAGGTCTGGGTAGGAGTCCCCCTATAAACAAGACTCTGCACAGCCTCCTCCCTCCCTCCTCTGGCCTCCTCCTTGGAGATCAGCAGCAATTTCAGCCCCTCGAGCTGGACTGTTTTCAAAGTGTTTCCTGCATGAGCAAGAGAAACACTCAACCCAAGGCAAACAGAGTTTGTGTGGATGGTTTGTGTTCTGCTGAGTTCTCTATTTTTAATCATTGTTTTAATAACGAGCGAGTGCTTGCCTGTAATCTTAGCACAATCCCCAAGAACAATCCACGCGCACGTGCTGGTTGCTTGCCCATAAACGTGTCTGTCTCTATATAACCAAGGAGCAATACCTGTCTCTCCAAGAGGACTGTTGACAGAGAACAGGGCCATGGGCCACACACCCCTCTTTTTGAATAAATTGTCTTCATGAGACTTACTCTCCTTGACCTGATGGTACTGTCGTGGCTTCTGCCTGTAACATCAGGCTCTTTAAAGGGCCAAGAGAAAGAGAGGAGGCACGGCGCCTGCTGTCATTCACACTAAATACAAACCCCTTTGTTAAAAATGTTGCATCGTGTTCCATAGTCCATTTATCTAATCTCCCCAAATACATCCTGGAGAATTAATTTTCATTCTGTTTGCATAATCTCGCTTATTAAATTGGAACTCAGTCACCATGGGAAGCAATTCCTGTGAAGTCACCCCGAGCCCACCGCTCCCCTTCTAGAACACCCCCACAGAGGTGCTAAGCAGGAGGGAGCGGGGCCTGGGGTTTTCTTTCTTTTGCCTTTTCTCGTCCTCCTGGAGATATTTCCTACTCTGGGCTGTTAAATAAATGATCTGTCTCTTTGCAGGACAGTGACAACCTCTGGTGGGATGCTTTCGCCACGGAGTTTTTTGAGGACGACGCCACGCTAACCCTTTCATTTTGTTTGGAAGATGGACCAAAGCGATACAGTAAGAAAGTTTATTTTTCTAATATTCTCTTCTTGGGGCGCCTCTCGGAAAACCCGCAGGGGTCTCCAGAGAAGAGCACCTTGCTGACAATCTCACACAGTGAGCCCTGAGCCCTCTCTGGCCACCAGGCCTTGTCACCGGAGGCAGCCCCATGGCAGAGAGGGGTGGCCCGGAGTTTGGCTGCTTGGGCGCTTGCTGTTCTGGGAGCTGGATGTGGGCGCTGGATGGTGGAACGACTCATCTATCTCTCCCCTTGTCCTTGACAGCTCACACTTAACACCCAGTCTTCTGCTTCTGAAGATTCCTTTAAAGAAAAAATATCTTTCCAGTCACAGAATCGGCCACATCCTTCTAATTCTCTCTTATCAATTATCTCAGGCATTTATTTGACAAGTGCTATTTTTTCTATGGGGGTGGCGGGAGAGGCCACAGCTGCTTTGAACCTTACCGTTTGGGATTAGTGTTGACAGAATTATAGGTCCTTGTCTTTCCGGCGAGTGATAACTCTGTAAAGATCCTCAAATTACAGCCTGTGGCACCTTGGGTAACAGCTGATCTGTCCTGATTAGGTTTAGCCAACTTGTTAGAGATCAGATTTGCTAGTTGTATTCTAAGACCAAGAGACATAGATACATCAGCACAAAAGCAATTAATGTCCGCTTAGATCAGAGCGAGATGTGTTTTCAGAAATCAGCGTTGCATGTATGAAAGGATCAGTTGGAGGGTAAAACATCGCACGTATCACAAGCCCTGAGATGAGGGCGGAACCAGCCGCTGTGTGGAGACCGTTCAGAGCTCTGGGTAATGGGTGGCTAATAGGGCGCTTGATAAATGGGCCTGAAAGCTACGCTGGTTGCTCAATATACTTAAAACCACTAGGGTACAAGTGGTGGTGTTTTTTAATCTGTGGGAAATATAGACAACTTCGCAGTGTCTGGCTCTACTGAATGATGAGCTGGTTCATGATGCTAATGCATGTGTGGTAATTTTGCAAACTGCGGAGAGCAGGTTAACCTAGACTTGCTGTCCGACTTGTCATTGCCAGGAGTTTCTCTGCAGATGTGGGTATTGTGGGTTTCGAAGGGTGTGGGACATTTCCCTTAAATATTTTGGGTGCAAAGGGGAGCCTGACAATGGGTGTTGTAGACTGTCTCTCTTCTCAACATAGTAGCTCCCCTTGCAAACACTGACCAGCCCACTCCATGGGCCCCCCAGATGCTGCCTTATTTACTTGCTTCTCTGTTGTGTGTTCCCCCCCCTCAGCTGCCTCAGCTCCAGAGAGTAGGAGCGATGGACTCAGAAGCTGCTGTTTCTGGAATCCCTGGGAGATAAATGAACTCAGGAATCCAACAATTACTCTCTCCCCAAACGCCTCCCTATTCAATGGAGAATATTTCTGAATGAGCAGTCATCCATCCTCCGAGCCTTCTTATAGTTTTCTGAAGCATCAGCTCAGATAACTTCAAGTTATCATTGTTTTATGTTCCTGTGCTTTTTTTATTCTTTTTTTTGGATTTAGGAATCCATCAGGGTCTGTTCTGGGAACTAGAATTACAGTTTTCCAGTCTATACTAATAAAACAGACTCTCGATCTTCCCTCTGCTCATCACCCCCCACCCCAACATCATTTGGGGGTGAGGCTCGATCAGTGACTGTAAGATCTGATTGCATGTGCAGGAGTAAATTCCTCACTAGGAGCCTTTGTTGTCCAGGGTTCTTTGTTTCTCTGAGCCAAAATATTTCCCGAGCGGAGAAGAGAAACAAAGATGATTGACAGTCTGAAGCCGAGTCTCATCAGCTGCTTTGCTGACAGCCTGGTGATGTGCACACGCTGCTGATGTGCGGGCGGGTGACAGCTGATTGACAGCCCAGGACTGGGGGACGGGTGAGAGCCTGCTTAGTGCTCTCTGTTCATGCAGCGCTCCTGGCTTGGCGCTGCCACCTTAACCCATTCGCGGTCCAGGCACTCGGAGCCAGGCTGGAAAACACCTGCTGGCTTGGGCTGGGGACAACAGCCCTTCCTTGATGCCTTCCAGGGAGCTGGGAACTTAGCAGTTCTGACAAAGGAAGACTTGGCTATTGCATTTATATATGTAAAAAAATTCCTCATAATGACTTTCATTCTAGATCTCAAGAAGTAGTCCAGATGAGGTTTATTTAACCCTTACTAGAAAAACTTTTCTTCCTCCTTCCCCATCTCTGTGTCTTTAGGTAGCAAATCTCTGTCTCTAAGATAGCAAATCTCTCAGCTGCCGTAAATCCTGTAATAGGTGTTTCTATATCTATTTATTGTCAGTCACCCCTCTTAAAATGTTATCTCCATGTGGACAAGGACTTTATTTTATTTATGGTTGAATTCTCAGATTAAGATAGAATACGGGCTCAGTCAAATACTGAATGACTATAATGGAATAAATGAGTGAGTGGACATTTGGGGACAACTTTACATCACAAACAGAATGTTGGCCTGAAAACAAATAAACAAAAATCTTTACCAAGATCTTTGGACATTTTTAGCCTGGAGGGAATTTGTCCCCAGTGCTCTGCTGGCATTTTCAAGTGCCTTCTGGGATATGATCTGCTCTATGTTAAACCAGAGAGTGGGGAGACAGTGGAAGAATCCAGGAGACCATCATGCTTTGGGAGAGGGTGTGCTTCTTTGCCTTGCAGAAAGTTCTTCTGTGTCAATGGTGTGACATTCACCAAGCCCCCGCTGTCTTGATGTGGGGGAACCCCATCTTCAACAGGTTATGATTGGGTCAGATGCAGACTACTGAGATGCCAGTGTGTCCAGTTGGTGTGAAGAGGCACCAGGGGGATGGACCCTGTTGGAAATCAGGTGCATCCCTGTCTCTGCCCTGGGAGCATTGGAAGGTGATTCTCCAGCATCTGGAGAAGTGGGTAGTTCCAGGGGTCAGTGTCCTCCTTGAGAGAGGTGGAGCTCAGGGAGGCAAGGGAGCGGAGGCAGGCAACTCTGACTGTGTCAGCAGGTCAGTGGTTAAGGGCTGACCAGCATCTTTTCTGTAAATGGCAACTGTGTCCAGAGCCCCAGTTGGTGAGTCACTGTCCATGGGTCCCCTGACTTCAAAGTCAAAGTTGGGACACCCCCCTCCCTGTCTCCTGACTGCTATGCCTACCTCATCCCATAACTAAGGGGAAAGAAATGGATTTGTCAATTCACTCATTAACAGGGTCATAAGTCACAAATAATTACTGCATCTGACTTGTCAGCGAAGCCAAGGGAAGCAGAGGAGCGGGGCCCTCCAGGACCTCACGCACCAGCTTTGCCTCCTGTGTCCCATGGGTACAAATGCAGCTATGTCTTTTACTACCTGTGAGAATTGGGAAAGTCACTTTCTAAAGGTCAGCAGGCTCACCTGTAAGTGAGGGTGTGGTGAGGTGATGCGTGTGAAGTTCTTAGCAGTGTTTCCAGCGCCTTGATTGTGCTCCCTGCATAGCTGTGTCCATTGAGTTCCCAGGAGCGTGTTGCTGCCTCCAGTGGAGACCCAGGGTGACACCGGCACAATTGCCATTGAGCCTTTCGCTGCTGTGGTACCCAGGAGGTGGGTTCCAGTCATTTACAGTCTCCTACTTATTACTTCATCCCGATTTCTGCTTTTTGCCTGGAATAGGATTCTGGAAGGACCACACACCTTCACAGGCACAAGAGCCAAAGGCTGCTCATTCTCTCTCCCTCTGAGGCTTCCACGGAATGGCTCATTCCGGGGCCATCTGCAACCTTTTCCTCAGTCATCAGGTCTCATTAGATAACTCAAAACCACAGGTGCACCCTCAGTGGTCATTTCCACACTCCCTGCGTCTTCATGCACCCTCAGTGGTCATTTCCACACTCCCTGCATCTTCATTACCTTTTCTTTCCTGCCTCCCCCCTTTTTTTTTTCCTGGAAGTGCTGACAGCATGGCCATATTGGCCAAGTGCTTCCATTTTGTTTTGAAAGAAGCGTGGTGCAGTGCGGCACTTTTGGCTGCATTCCCTGGAGGTCGAGAAAGTGTATGAGGCCAAGCAGCGTCCCTCTTACTGTGACTGTTTTTTCCTGCTCCTCTTTGACTTTCCCTGCCCAGCTGTGTTTTTGTTGAGTGTGCTCTGCAGGAATTCTGAAAGCCTTTCCCTTCCACTTTTTCATCCTCAAGTAACTTACAGCACAGTTAAAAACACATTCTTGGCAAAGTCATTCCTTGAGCATTGTGACCCCTTGCTTCATAACTATGGTGGCGTGGACGGGGCCATTTTAAAAAGTTACAAGCAGAGAGAGTGCCCTGGAGAGTGTGGCATGCGGGGAGGGCACTAACAGGCCAGATGTGTGCTGTCTTTCTGATATCACCTCTGCAAATCCACCTGAGATCTAGAGAGAGACACAGGGTCTTGGGGACATCGGCTTCCTCAAGGGATACATGTCAGCTGGTCCTGGGGATCATCCTCTGCAAAGCAGTTCTGTTCCTCTGAAAATTGCTCATTCCCCCCTGCCCACTTTTAAAAACATTTGGGATTAGACATCAAAATCAGGATGATGGGTGCACATAGACTCGTCCACCATAGCCAGGGAGTGTTAAACATGTTGCTTAAACCTCAGTCTCTTCATCTATAGCACCAAGGGAATAAAAATCCCCAAATCATAGAGTATTTGTGAAAGTCACATAAGATTCAATAACACCTAACTAAGGCTTAGCAGTTGCTGTGGAAAGCACACAATGAATACTTCTTGTGTGAATAAAGAAATGCAAGAATGACTGGAGGAAGAGTTAAACCTATGAATGCCAGTCACTTGGAATTAAAGTAGAGGATAGTTATTCAGTCTTTTGGCACCAAACAGGAAACATTCTGGCTTTAGATCTTTCTAGATGGAAACCTTAAGAATTTCATGACCACTTGGAGAAAAGTTGATATGAATGGAAGATGGTGATTCAAAGACTTTGATACCCAGCAAGGGTGAAGTTTCCAGCCCCTGTTTTGCCCAGAGGCAAGGCGCTGTTGAATTCTT